AACAAAGTCCTCTCTAAAAAATGGGAAGAAAGAGTTGTTAACTGATGAGTCAATCCAGTTTTTATAGCAGTTTATCTTCGTGGTATTTCCAAGAGCATAAATGCTATTAAAAAAGAGAGAGAGAGATGGTCATGACAGGAAGAACACAGTAGAAAAAAACAGGAACATTTAAGCCAAAAGCAATTTACTTTGCCAGTAACTGGTTAGATTTCCTTTCTTTTATTATGATTATTGCAAGAGCTGGGGCTGAGATGAAAGTTTCCCACACCTGCTCTGCCCGGCATGTAACTTGTCTGAACCCATGGTGAAGTAAATATACACAGGAATGCCCAGGTCTCTGATGGAATAAACCCTTTAGGAAAAACAACAAACTTGTTTTGCTGTGCTGTCAAGAAAATAGACTACAATTCATTAATATTTGAAGGAGCTAAAAAAAAAAAAAAAGGAAAACAATACCACAAACATGGACTGGATGTCAGAGTGGCTGGGAACATTGGAGGTAGCTTGAATCCGCAGGGATTAACACCTATAGAAATAGCGGTGACTTCACAAAGGTGAATACTTGTTAATTTCTTGGCACCAAGTAAAAGGAACAGATGGACAGACACAGAGGAAAGAATTTCTTTTAAAAGCAGAGATCTCTCACTGATTAGGCAGAAGAGTGGGGCCCCACTAGAAAGGGGTAACGTACACAAGGCTTTCGTGGCTTTAGCGGACAACCTATCACCTACTGCTGAGTCAGGCGAAGGGGGACCCTGCGCTCTGCCAGGTCTGTGGGATGCTTGTTGCTTGCTGGGGTGGCACTGTGTAGCATTTGAGAGTGTTTTCATTTGGGAAAAGCTCCCTGGTGACCGCCAGCTGGAGTTAATATGAATACCTCATTATGAGGCACAGAGACAGAGGGAGAGAGAGAGAGAGAGAGTGTGTGTGTGTGTGTGTGTGTGTGTGTGTATTTATTAGGCAGAAGGTGCTTAAATTAGGGACTCTGAATAAAGCCCAGCTCCCTAGGTCAGCATCCATCTCACTGCCAGTAGCCAGTTACATGACAGGAGACAAGTAATTTCACTACTTGAGTTTCCTGGTCTGTAAAATGGGAGTGATGATTGTGCCTCCCTCAGTGGCCTATTGTGCATTTTAAGTAAGTTACTGCTTGGAGAGCGCTCAGAACCAGGGGCACAAAGTCCCTAGCGGGTGTCACCCGTAGCTACTATCATTATGTAAGTGTAATATTGAAAACATTCTTGGGGCTGGGGATTTAGCTCAGCGG